TATATATATATATATATATATATAAAATAAGATGTTTATTTTATTTAAAAAATGCTTTTATAAATAATTTTCTTAAAACAAATCGACCCAAGAGTTTATTAAAAATGGGCTTATAATTTATGTGGGTGGGTGGGGGTGTCTCTAATGAATGGAAGGGTAAGTTTGTATTTCTATAACCTTAGTACTTATCCTTCGCAATACGAATTCAATGGTGGGCTAAGAGACTGGTCTTCAATTATAGTATTTCACATGCATAATTCTAGTTGCTTTAATTATTTCTAAACGCGAGGAGAAAAGATGTGATTTGGAAGAGAAAAAAAAACTATGTAATTTCTTGCATGAATCTGCAAGAAACATGGATCGTTTAGTAAACCAACTCATCTTTCGGTGAGATTCGTGAGAAAATGCAAACCTATAAAAGATAACTCATCTTTTCACGAACAAACATACATATATATATATATATATATATATATATTTTATGAATAGACCATTTTTATTTTTTAAATACAACCTTAATCCTTGAATCTTTTCATAAATAGATACAGAATTTCATGAAAAGGCACAACCTACCATTAATAAAAGGACACAACATTTCATTATTTGAAAATCTCTAGCTTGTTGTCAGACAGGGATACTAGGGTTGTGCGGGATCTGTTGTGGGAGATTTGGTAAGGCAGCTTCGAACTTGAGCACCTGAATCACTTGCCTTATATTGGGTCTGGATGCGCAATCTGGATTTGCACACCAAAGACCAACAACCAGTAAGCATCCCAATTGCTGCACATTAAATTCCCCACATAGGTTTGGATCTGCTGCTGCAAGGAGATTTCTCAATCCATAGAGCTTCCACACCCACTCAACTAATGATACTTGACCCTCCATGTCTTTGTGGTGAATGGCTTTTCTCCCAGTGGCTACCTCCAACAAAACAACCCCAAAACTGAATATGTCAGATTCCTTTCCAGCCTTGCCTGTGGTCATATATTTAGGGGCAAGGTAACCAATTGTCCCTTCCATAACTGTGGTATGTGACCCTTTCTCATGGTCCACCAGCCTAGCCAGGCCAAAATCCCCAAGCTTAGCATTGAAATTGGAGTCCAACATTATGTTGCTTGATTTGATGTCCCTATGAAGCACACATTTTTCCCATTCTTCCTGAAGGTATAGCAATGCTGATGCCAAGTCCAGAGCTAAATTGTACCTCACCTCCCACGGCAACAACTTTTCTCCACCAAAAAGACAAGAATCTAAGCTTCCATTTGGCATGTACTCGTATATTAGAAAAAGATCATTCTTCTTGTGGCACCAACCGGTGAGTCTCACCAAATTCCTGTGCCTCAATTGGCTAATGATCGTTACTTCCGCTGTGTAATCCTTCAAAGCATGTGCTGAACCTGCTGATATCCTCTTTATAGCAACATTGGAATTTGAGTCTTTGAAATAAACTTTATAAACGCCACCAAAACCACCCTGGCCAAGCTTCTGTGTCGCTTCAAAGTTATTGGTTGCAGTGATCAATTCATTATAACCAATCTCCTTGGGCCTCTTTTGGAGTTCATCATCCATCTTCGGATGAGAAGTGGCTTCTGAAGTGCGTCCTTCTTTTCTTTTGTTCTTCCTCCATAAAAAAATGTAGACCAACGCTAATAAGCTGAAAAACAAACCTGTACCAATTCCAATGCCCTCCAACAATTTTGTGGTGATTACCTTGCTTTTCTTCTTTGGTTCAGCCTTATAACTTGGTGAGCTTGTACAAAATGACCATGACAGCAGTGTATGTTCCTCAGCATATGCTCCTGTTGCAGCTGATATGCCAACAATTACCGACTTTGGTAATTGATCTATGATATTAACGTCGTATGAAAGGTGTTGTGTAATCTGTATTTCATCCCCAGCAAATAATTTGTATCCAGTGAACGAAACTTTCAAAGTATTTTTTCTAGAATTGTATACAATACTACAGTTACAAACTTCCCCTTTTGTAATATTTGTCCACCATTTCTCAAGTATTTTAGACCTCATATCGTTGATGTTTATGCCTACATGTGAGCCATCAGGGTCCCAGCCATTTGAGTAAGTGTCAAACTCCACTGCCACAAATTGATAATCTGTCTGGAGAAGATTTTCGTTACTACCCACAAGGCCAACACCAAGGCCTCCTCCTCCTAGATTTTTATGATCTGTTGATGGCAGATCTGAGCTTGCTAGAAAGAATGCCAAACCTTCACCATAATTAATCTGATTTGAGGAAACAACAAAGGAAAAGTTGGTGGTGAAGTCCTTCAGTTCATTTGAACAATTGTCCCAAAGATTTATTGGCTCTGGATATGTGACTCTTCCTACTGTCCCGTTGATGTTAGGGTCTGCTGTGTTCATTGTGAGTTGAATAGCAGAATCTGAGGTAGAAGCATTACCTTCCAACTTTAGTTGCTGTACATTAGTTGCATTGAAGTTGGGGTAATCAAAATACTGAGATTGAGTATTTGCAATGGGGATTATTAGGATAATCAAAATGGTTATCCTAAACAGAAGACCAAAATGCCATGCACAACCAGCCATAGCTAAGTGAGAGTTTAGTTTGATGTTTGAAGCCTAAGGGCTAAGACACTTTATTAGTTTCCACGTATTTACTTATATAATTCTTATTATGTGTCATTCGTCTAACTTGGTTCCTTTGTAATGTGATTTAATTATATTTTTCTCAACCCTCGACATTGTGATGAAAGTTTCTACGACCACACACTACTCACGATGCACAAAAAACTAGCAGGGATCAAAATCACCGTATTGTCGTGCGGCTGCTAGTGCAGGTGAAAACGGCAATATTCGGAGTTATAGAATGCTGTAGTTAATTACGTACAAAATCGGCTGTACTTGTTTGCGGACATATCCATGAAACAAAGGCTTATGCCTTGTTTATTTATACATAAAATGGCTTAACATCTAATGGAAATAAATAAGAGATGTTTGATAGAGACGTTGCATAGTGCTTTTTGACAGTATTTTCTTAGAAGTTATAACTAACTAGACATAGATTCGTGGATATTTTTTTTTAATTTAAATTTAAAAATATTATTTTGTTAGTTAATTATATATATATATATATATAATTATGTAATATACTTATAAATCAGTCTATTTCAATATTTTATAAAATTAAAAAATTGATAATAAAAAAATATACATATATTCATTATTTTCAAAAATGCAACTCCTCATATACAATACAATTGATGAGAGGTTTGCCCAAAGATTTTTTTTATTGTTATCTAAAATTAGTATTAATAAAAAAATTTATTATTTTTCTTATTAATGAACATAAATGTCAATTAATTACTATAATATTTATTATTTTTTCGAAACGGAGAATTTAATCAAATTAAATTTCTTAAATAGTAAATTAATGATTGAATATTTTAATCTACAAGTAATATCAACTAATATTGCTTCATTTTTATTTATAATTATAATTAATTTGTTTGTAGTTGAAAATTTAACAAAATTAATCTCTTAATTAATAAAATCATTAATTCATATATAATTACATATTAAACATAATTTTAAATTATCACACATTATAGTTTTGACGAAAAAATATTTTTATGTTACTCATAATTAATAATAATTACACAAAAAAATTTGTATTTTATTTTTTATAATGAACAATTTAATTAAATTTAATCTCTTAATTATTAATTAATATGATTATATATATAATTACTAATTTACTAATTAAATACAATTTGAAGTTACTCAAAACAAATATAGAATGATAATAAAAATAATATTATAGAAAATGCTATATAGATAATATATTCTTGTCACTTTCAATTTCTATTAAAATTAAAATAAATAAATCATATTGAGTCATCATTAAAAAATAAATAGTTTCATATTTAAAAATAATTTAAAATTCAAGTTCAATGTAGGTAGGACATAAATTAGATAAAAATATGTGGCAAAATGATAATAATAAAAAAAAATGAAAAAAGTAGTACCTTCTATTTTTTGACAAAGATTATGATGTGATTATATCAAATCTCATTTTATGTGACAAATTGAGAATAGTAAAAAAGATGAAAAAAAAAGTATGACCTTCTATATTTATGACAAAGATTATCATGCGAGATGAAAATTAAACAAAGAGGGTAGAAAATAAATTAAATAAAATGTAAATATGTAATATTGAGGGTTGAGGAGAAAAAAAAAAGGAAGAAAAAAGTAGTACCTTTTATTTTTGACAAAGATTGTCATGTGAAATAAAAAATAAACAAAGAGAATATGAGATAAATTAGATAGAACGTAAATATGTAAAATAAACAAAGAGGATGAGAAATAGATTAGATAGAACGTAAATATGTAATATAAAATGTAGAGAAGAAAAAAAAAGGAAGAGAAAAAAGTAGTACCTTTTTAATGATGATGAAATAAAAATTAAACAATAGAAAAATGAGGGGAGAAAAAAACAAGGAAGAAAAAAAAGTAGTACCTTTTTAATGATGATGATGAAATAAAAATTAGACAATAGAAAAATGAGAATTAGATTAAATAAAATGCGAAAAGATGTAATATATAGAAAATAAAGGAAAAATATAATAAAAGATAGGAATTTAAAAAATTTGTCACATGGATAAATATACTAACATTACAATATGTAAAATTAGTTTTATAATAACGTGTCAACATAATAAAATGTAACTCAATTTTTATATTATAAATAAATAGATAAATAATCACTTCTTTTATCTTTATAGATTGGTTTTGTCACAAGATAACCACTGTCTTAGACAAGACCCTAGTCCATGTGAAAAATACGAACTTACTTCATTCAATATAATCGATTATTTCATACTCCTTCTATTTTTTTTTTCATTGTCTTTAAGGTTATGCACAAGAATTAAGAAAATAATTGATATTTTATTTTTTCAAAGTATTTATTACTTATTTTCCTGTTATACCTTTTAGGTGGTTGGAGAAGAAATAGGTATATTGAAAAATGAATAGACACATTATTCAGTAAACATACATTAATTATCAAGGATAAAAATGAAAAAAAATTAATAAGTTATTAATTTTAAAAAAATGACAATGAAAAAAATAACAAAATACTGATAAAATAACTATAAAAAAAATAGAGAGAATATATAGATAAAAGATCGATGAACTAACAGTAACTGACATGAAAATTTAACTAACTTAGCCACTAATTACTTTTAAATAGTTAGATGTTGACATTATAATCATAATACTCTCTCTCAAGGTGGTTGGTTCCATGCAAATATTTGTGTTGTTGTCTTTTTTTCTTTTTTTCTTCGGGCATTCTAAAAGGTTCCAAATCTTAATAGGGTAATTTGGTCTATCTTATGGTATATATAATAGTATAAACTCCTGCATACGAGAAGTAGGTTAAAATTAGTTAGCAAGAGGCATGAGGTCCGCATTCATAAGATCAGGCTACATAACTATGGGGCACTGCAAATCGGTTGATTGATGTGAATGGTGTTTTATCCAAATATAACGTTATGTTTCACTTGAAACACGATTTTTATATATATATATATGGAATGTTAATATACTCCTACCTATTTTTTAGTTGGAGTATGTTAGTAATCTACATCAAAATTTTAGGACAAGAAAATCACTCATTTCTTTTGATTTGGTTAATTTGTATAAAAGATATTATAGTAATTTAATTTAATTTATAAAAAGAATAAAATATTTTCTCTCTTTTATTAATTTCATTCTCTAAGTCATTTTTTTCTCTTATTAAATTCCTTCTCCAACCTGTTTCTCTTTCTTATTAAATTCCTTATCTAACTCATTTATCTCTCTCGTATTAAATTCTTTTTTTAACTCATTTCTCTCCCATCTCTCATGATGGCTCGCCCCTCTCTCTAAACAAATAAAAAATTAATTAATAAAAAAAATGAGTTAAAAAATGAAGTTATTAATAAGATAGAGAAAATATTTTATTTTGCTTTTAAAATTAAATTAAATTACTATAATATCCTTTATACAAATTAACCAAATCAAAAGAAATGAGTGATTTTCTTGTCCTAAAATTTTGGTATAGGTTGCTAACATACTCCAACTAAAAAATAGATGAGAGTATATTAACATTCTCATATATATATATATATATATTCACTTTTACATAACTTTGGTTGATATTATATATGGTAATTTTTATATTTTTTGAGTGATTCATTGATTTATAATGACATGAGGTGCACCAAATTATGTTGTATTTCAACAATCGTTGGAAGTATAAGATTTTAGTGTGTTTTATAAAGTCTTGAATTTTTCAATTATAATAGCTCATTTTTTATTTAACTAAAGTCAATATGGAAACTTATTATAGAAATTGGACTATTTTGAAACTTATTTTTATATTGGACTATTTTGAAACTTATTTTTATATTGGACTGGTCAACACAATCTCATCTCATGTCATGCAATTCTTTTTTATATAAAAAAATTGGCTTGAAAGTGCCATGTGGCGTTGAATTGGCACTGTATTGAGAAAGCTAGAGTCGTGTATGTCAATGATGATCCTGCACACAATTCCAGCAAAACCCGTTTTAACTAATTTAAAACAAGTGTCGCTACTTCCAAGTGGGAGATCTATTTTTTTGAATTGATGTTGCTATCCCCCAATGGAGGACTACCTTTTTTTTATATTTTTTTCATTATTCTTCTAGTGTTGCTATTCTTAAAAAGGAGACTAATTTTTTTTATTATTATTAAATGGTGTCGCTATCCCCAATGGAGAACTACCTTTCTTATTAAAACAAGTGTCGCTACCTCCAAGTGGGAGATCTATTTTTTTTTCATTGATGTTGCAAAATAAGGGAAGTGTAACTAATTTAATACATGTATGGAATAGAAAGTTTGATCATAGATTGTCAATAAGGCATGCATGTCTGACGCATGCCGAAATAAATGGAGTTCTACATCAAATAATTCTATTTTTAGACAAGGTTGGCTTTGGATGGATTACCATACTTAATTTTATAAGAGTCAGTCTTATTTCAATCATAGTAGAAAGATAGAGACCAAAGACATACATTTAATATGTTTTTTGGAGAGTGTACTATTACTTTCAAGATGTAGCATTACTTGTTGGACTCTATGGCAGAGAAACAATTTTATCGAGACATGACATTGATTGAAAAGCATTAAGTAAAGAATTTCATAATTTATTTAACTATTTGTATTTATTTAAGTATTATTTCTAATATAATTTTTCATTAATATATGAAATGCACAAAAATTAAATTTTGAGAATTTTCATGTAATTAATGTAGCTTACATGTATTTAGAGATTGTTTCACCTGATGATAAAATTAAAGGATTAGTCACAAAATTGTCATGGTTGGGTGAAGCATTCAACAACATCAACAAAAATAATAATAACCTTCAATATTTGCATTGCATTATGAGACCACGTATTTCGAGATATATTAGTTGATAGGGGCCCCCATTGGGTAAGGTTGAGGTGATTAATTTATTAACATGATTTTGACACGATAAAGAACTATGCATGAGGTGTTGTGCATTAGGATATCTTTATCAACAATTATGCATATTAACGGATTATGCTACCTCATTAATTAGTGGACTGGTCATTCTTATGCAATAATCTGCATGGGAATGTTTTCAAAGGCTAGCTCCACCGGTTA